AGAACTTCTTCATAACCAAAAGCTAATCTCACCTCATTCCGCCCTCTTCTTTCCCCAGGGAGATTCTGGAAGCCCTCTGCTGTGTGGCGGTATTTTCCGAGGCATCACAGCCTTTGGCCTTAGTGGGAAATGTGGAGCTCGCCAAGGACCTGGCATCTATACATCTCTCTCCGAGAAGCATCTCTCGTGGATAAAGAAGACTATGAAGGGCACAATTTAGACACATGAATTTCATTTCATCTTCTGTCACTTCTGCATCTAGTCACAAATAAAATCAATTGAATGACTGTGTGCTCTTCTCTCTTACAGTGTTCTTGGTCAGCTCTCCATCCTCAAAACCAAGAGTCGGAAGGCAATGACATAGATAATGCAGGAGGGAGATTAGAAAACAAGGGCCACTGGAGTTCTCTGTGTGTCCAGGGACAGGGTAATTTCTCCCTGGATAATGCACTTTGCTCTCAGCAGATCTGTCTGGCAGCAAGCATAGTGAAGGAAGGGTTCAGGCATTCTGAACTGCTCCAGCATGTGGGAATGAAGAAGGAAAAAGCCTAACTCCCACCGCTACACCTCCACACCACTATTCTTGTTTATATGCGAGAACCGCGGGGACAGATACCAGAAAGGACTCAAGGGTGGATTCCCTAGGCAGATGTGCTTTGCCTTTTGGCCTTTGAGCTAAGATGAAACATAGCACCAAAGGCTGAAGTTGAACAGAATTAGAGTTCTGGGTGATATAAATGAAATGCCTGCCCAGCCAAGAAAAGGACAAAGCAGAAAGCCAGCTTGCTCCTTGGTAGTTTTCATTTCAGCCTTGGATTATCTACGTGATCTCTTGATTCCCCTTGTCTGTGAGTCTTGTCTGTCACCAACATGGTGGTCACAGTGTTTGCCATGCTCTCATAGGTACAGAGTAGTGAACTGTGATCAAAACATTTTCTTGAAAAACAAAATGCCCAATGTTTGCTCGGCATTTTTAATTTAGTGGACAGTCATCATCCCAGCGGCCATATTGAGGTGGGATCATGGGAACAAATTCCTTCAGTTTCCACTAGAAATATTTATCTGTATGTAATTATGCAAGTATGTGTGTATGCAGATACATACACAGTTCCTGTCCAATCCAAAAACATGTGCCAAGAGTCAACTCTTGAAGCCAACGAAGAAGCAAAACCCAGGCTAATTAAAACACTAGTCACAGGCTTTCAGGGACAGCTGCCCAGCAGACCCACCAGCCTATCCAGAATCACCATTGCCCAGGACCCCGCCTCTAGAGAGTCAATTAATATTGCTGAAACCCAGAACATGGGGTTCCTCATATTAGCACCCCAATAAGGTTGATAACACCCAAGGATCAGATTTCCTGAACTACAAAGTGAGGTTTCTAGGAGAGGAGTTCTGAGCTGATACTTTAGACATGTCATAATCTCTAACATGGATTTAGGATTTTAATTACAAATAAATAGACTATTCTCTATTGAACTCCATTTTATTGAAACCAGACCATTTATTTTATGACTGCTTGAAGTCCCTAAGATGAATTTGATACTGTAACAGCTGCCCTCTTGGGCTAGCTGTTTGTTAATCTTTATAGAATCCGTGTCTGAATCTTCAATAGGCAATCTTTAGGTGCCTCATCCACCCAGTGCCAATAGTGTTTCTTCTCTTAGCCTGGGATAGCGTGCCAGCTATACTTTCTGTTGCTCTTGGCAGGGTAGCCACAGTTGCCACAGGTAGACTTCTGAAGGTGGTAGGCCTTAGAGCCACAGCGGCGGCAGAGTGTGTGCATCTTATTGAGACACTTTCCAAAGGATGGCGTTCCTTTCATTGTCTTGCTTCTGCTGCCGAGGCCAAACAGACAGGAAAACCTATGTTCCATTTTTTAAATTGTTGACTCAAACTCTCATGCATTGCTAGTTGAAGAACAGATGTACCTTTCTTCTTGGAAAAGTTGCTGGTGTCTATTGGAGATGAATCTGTTTATATTTTATAACCTAGCAATTCCACTCAAGTATATACCAAACTAAAATGAGTGTTTTATTCACCCAAGATATATTCAGTAATGTATATACTAGATTAAGTCTAAAACCCAAAACTGTAAATAATGTAAATATCCATTTCTGATAAGATAAATAAGTTTGTATTCATACGGTAAGCTAGACAGCAGTGAAAAGAACACTGTAGTCTCATGTAACACACATGTTATTGCATGATTCCACCTAGCTGAAGATAGGCACAAGGAAAAACCATTCCATCATGACATAAATCAGAATATAGAGGCTGTTCACTGGCAGTAGGCAGCCAGGAATGTTCATGCCTTAAACTGGATGGAGCTTACTGCTATCTATTCATGAACTAAAAAATTTATCCAGCTATCCAACAAGGACTGATATATATGAAGCTTTGTGTTACAAAAACCATTTGTAATCAAAGCTTCTCTTTTGTGTGTTATATAGACTTTTTCTAATTTCTTTATAAAAAAAATCGTATCCCAAAATTTCTGCTAAAATTAATATAGATATACATTGACATTTTTCTCAAATGAGGCCCCTTTGCTCACATACCAATATTAATTGTAGAAATGGCCTTCGATCATGGCAATGTCATGAGACAGTTAAAACAGAAAACCTGAAATAGAATTGACAGAGGATACTTGAAACTGTTTAATATGTATATGAGAGAGAGAGAGAGAGAGAGAGAGAGAGAGAGAGAGAGACTGACTTGACTTGAAGTTTTAGGTGCCCTAAATTTTTGTAAAGTAAGAAATACTAACCTTTCTAAGTTAAAGGAACGAGGTGAGAAAAGTAATTGGTAAATTAACGTGAATTTGGCAAGAAAAAACATGATTTCTCTTATATATATGCTACCCTGCTCTGCAATAGTTGAGGTTTTTGTTTTGTTTTATGAGGGGAATGAAGGAGAGGGCATTTTTTTTCTTCAAGAGCCGGGTGTGGTGGCTCACACCTGTAACTCCAGCATTCAGGATGTGGATGCAGAAAGATTGTGAGTTTGGGGCCTGCCTGAACTATATACTGATGTCAAGAATAGCCTGAGCTAAATGCGCACACACACACACACACACTCACAAAAGTCGTTGTGCTGGGTTTGTGTGTGTGTGTGTGTGTGTGTGCATATGTGTGCCAGAAAAGAAAAGTAAAAACAACAATGGAAATGAAATAAAATCAACCAATATTTATTGTCTGGGATTTGTTCCCTCGTTACCCTATTTTATTGTCCATGAGGGAAAGAATGTGTTGAAACCAAAATAATCAAAGATTCACACAGAAAAATTAAGAAAACAACTACAATCATACAGATTAATATCATGTAACAAGCACGGGTAACAAATATTTTGTGCAGCCGGGCAGTGGTAGTACACGTCTTTAATCCCAGCACTTGGGAGGCAGAGACAGGCTGATTTCCATGAGTTCGAGGCCAGTCTGGTCTACAGTGAGTTCCAGGAGAGTCAAGGCTACACAGAGAAACCCTGTCTTTCTTGAAGAGAGAGAGAGAGAGAGAGAGAGAGAGAGAGAGAGAGAGAGAGAGAGAGAGAGAGAGGAAAACAAACATTATGTGCAGAAAAAAAAATCGGAAGAAAAGATCAAGAATTCCAAACGACCAGCAAAGCTCCAGCACCAGAGCCATACAGCAGATGTGCAGAGGTTGCCAGAGGCTGCTTACTGGCTTGCTGCCTCTCTTGCTCAGTCTGCTTTCTATTAAAACCAGGCCCAGAGGAGATGACATCACAGTGAGCTGGTCCCCCCACAACAGTCATCAATCAAGACAATGCCCTACAGGCTTGCCCACAGGACAATCTCCTCAAATGAGGCTCCCTCTCCTCAAGATGACTCTAGCTTGTGTAAGTTCACACACACACACACACACACACACACACACACACACACACAAACCCAGCACAACGACTTGCTATAAGTGACTTCCTGTTTCTGTCTTGGCCTCTTGTGTCTCCTGCCCTTCTGTCTTTTGTCCTAGGATGGCACAGTGGAAAAATCCTTATCCAGTGCCAGGACACCAGCAAGCTCTTGAACTTCCCAGTCCCCACACCATGAACTAAATAAATGTTCAGTTTTCTAAGTTATTCTGTCTTGGGTATTCTGTTACAGCAACAGAAAACAGGCTAAGACTGGAGGAAAGAGGGTCTGACTAAAGAGTTAATTTTGAGAAAAAGCGTTATTCATGTTTATTACAGCACACAGCATATGGCAGGAGGTGAGGGGGATTTTTTGGATACCCAAGTTCTACCTTGAGTATACTGAGTTTGAACTAAGGACAGGAAAGGAACTCACAAAGGAGAAATGGGAAAGGCAGTCAGAAATATGACAGGGGGACTTAGAAAAGCCAGGTAGGAAAGAACAGTTTAGAACTCATTTTTACTAAAATAGTGAAAAATTAATCTTGGAAGAGAAAAGGGCAAAGAAGGCAGAAGATGTTCGGAGCTGCAACTTCCTGGCCCCTTGACTTTCTTTGCTTGCTTTAGACCCTTTGTCTAAAGCTGGAGTGAACTGAGCAAAACACCCGTGCCTGCAGCTGCTCTGAGCCTCATGAGTCTGCAGCTGAAAGATCCCAAGAGATGGGCGTGGCTAAGGATCCCTGAGCACAATAAACTTGGCATTCTTGTATCAAGGATGACCCAGGTCCTTATCCCTCTCTGTCTATGTGTTTTTAAGTCTCCAGCTTAGTTCCCAGCTTGCGTACCATCTTGTAGTGGCACAGGTGCTACAGGACCATTCGGCTTTACACAAGAAGCGGGGGGGGGGGGGGGGGGGGGGCGGGGACCGGGGGAGAGGAAGACCGAAGAAAATCAGACCATCTCTGGGCTGCGGGGTAGGAAGATGTACAGAGATGGGAGCCTGAGGAGAATCAAGCAAAGAAGAGTCAGTGACCCAGGACATCACAACTTCTGATCCCAGTGACCTAGGACATCATAATTTCTGATCCCAATGATCTAAAGAAGAAGTTCTCAGTTATGACTGGCTGGGTGACTAGTGGCCCTTCCACACACAAGCGGCCCCATCTGCGGCAGCAGAAAACAAGAGGGTGTCTTCTGAACTCAGAACCAGGGGCAGCACTCTGCCTCGGTAACCTGTAGGAGAAAGACAATGCATCTGGCACCAAGTTACAAGGATGGCTACTCAGAACTCAGGTAACCTGAGATAGGATCAGTCTTCCTCCCAGGGTACAGGATTTCCTGTACCAGCCTCGTTCACCAGCAAGGCCATACAGGCCCTTCACCCAGTGCCTGAGGCCTAAGTTTCTTCTCCAGTACTTGCTGTACCTTCACCCTACCCCTTCCCACCCCTACCCTCACTCACCCTTACCCCTACTCACTCCTATTCCCACACACACCCCACCCAACCCTATCCACCCCACTCCCATCCCCACCCCAACCAGTGCCTTGTGGCTATCCTAACAAATGACCACAAGTTGGGTGGTTATGCACCAAAAGCTGACTCTCCCACAGTCTGAGATTGAAGTGTGAAATCTAGGGGTAGGTAAGATGGCATGCCCTAAGAGTCTCAGCCTTACCACTTCCGGTTCCTGCAGTTGCAGCCATTCTTCTGTGCCCGCACCATGCCAGCCTGCCTCTGTGAGCACTCTGGCTTCTCTGTGTCTCTTCTCTGGTTTTCTTACAAGTCACAGGATACTTGACATTGGATTAGACCTGCCTACACAACCCAGGACAGCGCCTGCCACGAACCTGAAACTCAGCGCGTTATGAAAAACCCTTTGCCCATAGAGGGTCACATTGACAGCCTACAGAGATGTCACTCGAGTGTCTTAAGAAACTGTTCTTCAGCTGACACCACCGGTGACTCTTGCTCCATGGTCTTTAGCTTTATCTTCTGTAGTCTTCGGTACCCAGGGAACGCCATTGCAGTGTTCACCCAAAAGCCAATCCCTTTAGGATAGATTCCAAGAAACAGATCATAAAAACTGATGCAGCTTAAAGCAAAGAGTCCAAAACCTCTTCCACATTGCAAGTACAAGACTTGTGTACAGGATTCTGCTCTTTTATTCATTATTCCCAAAGAATATTCTTAGTTATAATTGCTTTATACAAGGTTAAAAGATACTAAATGAAAACAGCATTAAATGGGTTACATTAATTGGGAAACTCTGAGTTAATATTAAGGTCAGCTCTTTATTTCAGAGCTCATTGTACTTTAGGGCTGCTGCATGCACTGGAGCTGTATGCACTGAAGTTGCATGCACTGGAGCTGCATGCACTGAAGCTGTATGCACTGGAGGATGAGGCTATAGTGGGTAGAATTTCTCAACCTCACTTGATTGCACAGTCCTTTTGACTATAGCATAACAAGGTACTCACTAGTGTCACCTGAAGAACGTTTCGTAAAACCTAGCCTAACTCAACAGTGGCCTTACTAATCAACACGCTGGACCAAAATAAACCAAGATAATTCCATGAATAGAGGCTAGGGACAGAAGGATATGCAAGTTAACAAGGCCAAATAAACGTTGGGTGGGGGTATTGGTGATATAACTGAAACCAAACTCGGAGAAGGGGGTCGCCTTTTCACAAAAGTGGGATTTCTTACAGGTCCACTGAGAGCAGGACTCTGAGACACCCTCTTGTCCTATGGTACGAGATCTTCAGCACAAAGGAGTGTGTATGCACTGTTTAGATCCTGGGGGAGACATAACCTGGGTCCCAGACCTGTGGGAGTCTTGTTGTCCCTACATATCACTCCCCCTGTGCAAGAGAGTTACGTTTTGAAGAAGTAGAAAGTTAAATAACTTAGAACTAGGAAATTTTTAGCTGAGGAATATCTTTCTTGCCCAGCATATACCAAGCTCTGGTTCGATCCCAAGTACAGCAGGAAAGAAGAGAGAAAGAGGGAGGGAGGGAGGAAAGAAGAGAGGGAGGGGGAAGGGAAAGAAAGAAGAAATCTGTATACATAATCAACTCATAAATTTAATTTTGACAATTTAGAAGGTCACTTTAAGATAAAGCCATAAAGAAGAAATGTAAAATGATCCCTCTCTTAGAGCTGGAGAGGTGGTTCAGCTGTTAAATTCGTGGACTATTCCTATACCGTCAAGCGCTCCCTGTTGGGTAGCTTAAATCCACCTGTAACTCCAGCTCCGGGAGAATCCAGTGCCTCTACCCTGCCCTGGGACAGCTTCACTCACAGGCACACCCACCCACAGATGCTCGAGCATAATCAAAAGTAAAGCATTTTTAAGTGATTTTCTTTTTAAACCACAGAATAGTCTCGCTCTCACAGTTCTTCAAGCATTCTTGCTGCTATCCTTCCTCACATCCTGGACAGAAAGTTCTTATAAGAAGAAATATTAAATAGTTGTGGTGTCAGACAGACATAAAACTGTCACTCAGAGAACACCCTTGTCAAAAAGTTAAACATCCCCATTGATTTCTGCCACAAAGTTCCAGGCACAAGCTTTCTAACTTAAAATATGCTTTTTAATCCACACTCAGGATAATGTCTTTATTATATTCAATAGCGACAATGAGCAATTAAAAATGCCCTTTTACCCACTATGTTAAAAATGAAAAGAAAGAAAGAAAAAAGAATGGGATGGGCTGGCAAAAAGGGGAAAGTCCAAATAATATTCAAAAGCAAGGTTTGGAAGCTAGCTTGGTGTAAATTGAACAGATGTTCCTGGGGAATGGCACCTGGCGTGAAAGCAACAGTGTTTCTGAGGCCCTTTTGGAACACATCAGTGACAGCCTTAACTTAGGAGGCAGTGGGAAATCACACCTTTACAGGGAAGGCTGTGGCTTTAGATTCTAAGAATACTGTTCCGGGGAGTGCTATAAGTTTTGTTTTCTGCCTGCAAGTGTCATCAATGACACTACATATTGACCCTTTGCTAAGGACCAAGAAAGTCATGTCAAAGGCAGGCCTCACCGCAGACTAGAAAGTTACCTACACACAGTTGTCTTTTTAATATAAAAAAACTAACTTTTTGAGAATTTAAACAGTATATCTGGATTAGACTCACCTCCCCACTCCTACCCTCTCCCCTCAGATCATCCCTTACCTCCCTACCCCTACCCTCTCCCCTCAGATCATCCCTCACCTCCCCACCCCTCCCCTCACCCCTCAGATCATTTCTCACCTTCCCACTTCCTCCCAACTTCCTGTCATCTTTTTTTCCCACTGAGTCCAATTCATGCTGCCCTTATACTTATGAGCATGGTATCATCCCTGGGACCTTGGTCACCACATCCTTAAAAAACAAAAAATGGACTCTCTCTTCCCCAGGAGCTAAGTCTGTCAGTAGTGCTCCGCTGGCTTGACCTTCTGCAGGCATTGTTCGGGCAGCCACAGCTGCTGTGAGATCCTGAGCACCAGCAGGTCTGTCGTGTCCAGGAGGCAGCTTCTCTGTGGAAACTGACTAGGGCACACACATTCAAGGAAGAGGAACCTGGGCAGCTTCAAGAGACAAACACATGTGATCAAACTTAGAAGCATTTCTCTCTCTGTTCCGAGAAGGGATGTCTCTAGGATTTCGCCCTCTATTGAGGGCCATTTTTCATCAGAGCTTTTCCACTTGGTGGCAGCACACTTTGCTGTGGCATGTACTCACCAAAAAAAACCCTGAACCTGAACAGGGTGGGGCAGGCCCACAGAGCCGCATCCTTCGTTGCAGCACCTTGGCCTGGGGCAATCTCCTTTGTCTTAGGTAGCCAGGTGAGGGAGCAAAACTATAAAGAGGACTACAAAATACTGAATTCCAGCAACTTCTGGTGCGTGATGAATGTGCATAAGTTGAGTCTACACTTTCTCTTCTGTTCACTCTTCCTCCAGCCACAGTGAGGACTGGGTATTTTCAGAGATGATATCCATCCTGAGAAAGTTTATCCCAAGTCATCCAAGGACCAAGAAAACAAATGGACTCCAGTGCAGTGAGCCAGGGAATTTGAATTGTGACCACTGGCCAGAGATAACCAGACTACTCCCAAGTTTCAGAGTCAAACTGTGATGAGAAACACAAAAGCAGAGACAGAAGAGAGGGAGGGAGACAAGGAGAAAGGGAGGAGGAGAACAAACACAAGTTAGATTAACTTTGAACTAATTGAGAGATTTTACACAAAAAAAAATTCATAAGAATTGGAATTCCTTTTGGACTCAGAAGATAAGGAAGGTGGGATTCTACATTCTATGATAAATTGTTTTCAGAAGATTCTTGATGTGGGGTGAAGATGAAGCCTACCTGAGAGTGTGTGTTTGAAATCTGAATGTACTTCTCAATATTTACACTGAAAACATGTAGGCGTCCATCCTTCATTCCTCCTCTAAGGGCAAGGACCTCAGATTGCCAGGGAGACCACTCCATGGCCTACAAAGTTCAAAATAAGAAAATGGAAGTGAGCCCTGGAGAAAGCAAGCTCACCAGGGTGATGTACATAGAAGTCTGCCGCTGCAGCAGCTCTCCCAGCTGAGGGCAGACGCCCCTCTCAGAAATTATTCCCCAGGGGCGAGAAGCCACTGCTGAAAGAGAAGATGCCCAATAGAAGAGTTCCCTAAATTATGCTAACAATTGCCAGCATTTTTAGTATAGGGAAAAAAAAACTACAAAACCACACAATGGAAAAACTGCATGGGGCAGAACACTGTGGCTGGAGAAGCCTCTGGCTCTTCTGGGCTTTGTGCTGAGGTGCAACTCCTGCTTTATGGCCTGAGTCCTTTTCCTCCAGGTAGCATTACATTAGAGAAAGCTACGCATGACTACCTGTAATTTCAGATCTCAGGTGTCTCAAATCCTAATACACTTCAGAAGATCAACTTATTTGCAAATAACTCCAGTCAACTGAAAATCAGAATTACTGTCTCGTGTCTGTACTGATAACTGGAATGGCTAGCAACTTCAAAGACCATTCTAACGATAATTTCTGTTGCATTCATCTGCCAAATCTAGTCCATCATCCCAGGAACTAACCTCACTCTTGCATATTATCTTTCACGAGTCAAAATGTTTTAGAGTAACAAACAGAGTTTATACTGATTTGTTCTCCCATTGGTTGTTATATAAAGCTTTTTCATGTTTTATCAAACTTTACATCATCCTCATTTTAGTAGTTTTAACATTTGTTTATGCATATGCATGTTTGTGCACACATGTGAATGGGTACCTGAGGAGGCCAGAAGAAGGTGTTGGATCTCCTGGAACTAACGTTACAAGAGTTGTGAGCTCTATTGTGGGTTCTCTGCAAGAGAAGCAAGTGCTCTTAACTGCCAGGCCCCTTAATTATCATTTTCACTAATCTCTTTACAATCCATCAGGTTTTGTTGTCCTTATGCTGGATTTGTCATTGTTTGTTGTTGTTATTATTATTATTATTATTATTATTATTATTATTATTATTATTATTATTATTATGGTTTTGTTTGTATAGGGTTAGTTGACATTTTACAGAAAAGTGGATTGTTTTGTTTGTTTTGTGTTTCATTTAGTGTTTGCTGTCACATAAAACAAAATGTATCACTGGGACAGTAAACTCCACAGAAACAGAACTGAGCCAGCAACCTAGGTTGGAAAGGCCTGAGACAATGAACTCCACAGGAACAGGTACAAGGGAGCAACTACTGAGGGAGTGGGTCGGAGCCAGAGACCTCTGCAGGTTCAGGCATCAGTCTGGGACCTCTAGGGGAGTAGGCAGGAACCAGAGACCTTTGCTGAACCAACCCCAAAACCAGGGACCTCTACAGGAGCGGATCCAGACCAGGGACATTTACAGAAACAGGACTAAGCCAGCAACCTAGGCCAGAGAGCAAGCCTAAGACAGTGAACTCCACAGTAGCAGAGCAAACCCCAGGAGCACTGAGCGACCTCCAGGAATACAGACTGACGAATGGGGTGACTGGAACTGTGGCACTGACTGTACCATGAGGAGCAACCATCTGAGCCATTGATGTACTGACACCTGGAAGATTGACCACCGACAGCCCCAACTATACCAATCAAAGAAAAAGATGGGTAGACAAGGTAAGAACACACACAACACCACAAAGAGCAACACAACGCCAGTAAAAACTAGTAACCCTACAATGGCTCAGATGCATGGTGCTTCATATGGGCATGAAACATATGGACCCTCTGGCTCTTCCAGAATCATACTTTAGGTTTATGTCAGAGCATTGGCTGCATCTTGTTACTTCAGCTGCTCAACTGGCAATCTAAGCAGTGACTTACAGTAGTCATTTCAAAGACTCATGAGATGAAGCTCCACCTCCAGGTGGCATATGGAATGGCGGATGCTGCTGAACCTCCTAAGGTGGAAGGATTCATCTCTGACTCCACCTCTACAGACTGCAGTAAACAAACAGTTCTACAAATCTCTAAGATCATACAAATGCAATATTTCTCCCATGAGTATCAAAGAGATTACCGTGTAAGAAAGAAAGCAGTCTCTCTGATAAAACTGAAACACAAAGAATACAGAAAGAAAGAAAAGGAAAAAGTTCAGTGTGGACTTCAAGTAAGAGTGAAAAATTATTCAACGGCATTTTTCAGCAAAGAATACATGGCAGATGTAAATGTAGACAAATGGTCTCATGAGGGATACACAGAGTACCACATCAGGTTGTGAATATTTATTCCGTCATTTGAGACTTTTTAAAGAAAGTAAACTTTGTATGTTTGCATATCCATCCCAGTGATGCCTACTTTGCAGACTTAAGCTCTACTCTTTGTTCATAAATAGTTGCTAAATTGTTGATTTTAACTTTTAATCCTATAGTACCAAAACAAAGCGACTAATTTTTGGCTAATTTTACCCTTGACTATTTGCGTTCATGATTCTATCATTTGTTCTAAGTTTTCATCAAAAGACCCCACTAAGTCCAAACCACTTGCCACTATCTTTTGATCTCTAGCCCCCAATTCATGATCAAACTGATAGTGATACATCAACAGGAAACAAGATAACTCAAGTGGCTTGTGGTGTCTGTGACTAAACGACTTCTGATAAGAGCCTGACAGTTTCACAGTGTTGTGCCAAAAAAGTCAACTGTTACTCATAAATGCTTGTCTTGAGGTTCACTTTGAATACTTGCAACTGTCAGAACTTCAAATTTACTGGAAACATTCAGACCTGCTAATAAAAGGTCACAAATTATTTTTAACAAAATCAATACCCAAAGCATTAACAACAGAGATAAGGATGTAGTTTCATATAGAGTTCTTGCTTAGCATATACAATGACTTGACTCAAGTCCTAACACCATACACACACACACACACAAATCAATCAATCACTCAATCAACAACAAGAAGAACCAAAAACATAAGACCTTATAACTAATGAGTGATGGGTGATTATACTAAGGTTGCCAGATATAAAGTTAACATGAAAGTCAATTGCATACTTATATGCCATCAATACACAACTGGAATTTAAAATTCAAAACAAATAGTATTTATATTATTAACCAAATTTTTAAATGCTTAGGTGTGTCTTTACAAAAGCATGTGAAATATATGTATAAAAAAACACTAAAAACTTTTGATGAAAAATAAAAAGAATATCTATAAGGGAGGTATTTGCACATACAAGAGTAAGAAGACTCATTATGTCCACATGCAATCCCCCCAAATTGATCAACATGTTTAATATAATCACAACCAAACTCTCAGCAAGTTATTTTATGGATATTGATAAGGTAATTCTAACAGCTCTATAGAGATACAAAGAGCAAAAATAGTCAATGCATATTGAAGGGTAAGAACAAAGTGAAAAGACTAAGATTATCCAACTTAAGACTTATAAACAAGCTGTGATAATCAGGACAATATAACATTGACAGAAGAATGAACAAGTTCAATGGAATGGGATGGAGAGCCTAGGGAAAAAACCAAACTTATACCCTTATCTAGCTATTGAGAAAGAAATAAAGACAACATAATGTGAAACTCGATTAAATGAAAGCTTAGGGTCAAATATTGGGGTTCAGCCTAAAGATTCAAAAAGCAATACAGCCAAACACTGGCTCTTACCTCGACCTCAGTCTGAAATGGCAATCCTACCTCCTGAAATCTCAGAGGGAGACTGTGTCTGAGAGCTGTCTCGCCCCATCTTATATTCCTCTCTGGACTAGGATCAAAGGCATGTACCACCCAATTTCTATGCCAACAAGGGTAACTACTGGGATTAAATGTGTGTGTTATTGTGGCTACTGGGATTAAAGGTGTGTGTATTACCACAATCTTGTCTGTAAGGCTGACAAGTGGGACTGTTTTACTCTCAGATCTTCAAGCGGTCTTTATTTTTTAAAATACATTTGAAATGCCACTACATTTCCCCTTTTTGTCTAAAAAAGGCTATTGCTAATATAAGAAAACTATATACAACAAGTATAATGAGTATATACAATATATACAGACAATAAATACATTAACAATGTCTAGTCTGTTTGTATTTGACAAACTCAGAGAAAATACATATCTATCCTATCTTAGTGAGTCCAAAGTCTTAAACCTAATTTATTTTCTACAATAACTTGCTTTGGTAAACTATAGCTATCTAATCTTCAGCTCCCTCAGAGACCCAAGAAGGAAATAATAATAACTGAGTAAGCAGAACTGCAAGGAAGTGGCTTCAAAAAAAATATGAATAATAGCAGAAACAGCTGGCTGCCTAAACAGTCACCCAAAGTTCCTCTGCAATGTTGGGGCATCCATCTTCAGCCTACAGGCCTAGAATATTCAACAGACTTCTCTGTTAAGCAGGATATTTTGTGTCCTCCTTGTCTAATTAGGACAGCATAATGTCAACAGTTGAGGCATGGACATTTTCTTGACCAATGTCTTACTTTTGCCACAGTGAAAGTAAACTCCATGTAGAGTTTCTTTGATGCCCACTATTTTCTCTGAAGTAGATTGGTGCTGCCAGGAGCAGACATGTCTCATTGTCATAAAAAAGAAGAACCTAGGTTATTAAAGTATCTTAAATGTTGTATTCTGTAGACCTCTGAAGTGTTTGAAGATGGCCTATCTATCTAAATTATATCATTGTTTAACCTTGAAAACATACCTAATGTGGCTACAAGGTCAATTATACTAGGTGATTATACTAACCAATATTTCTTTATTATCCTAAACAGTAGTACAAACACTGAGAGAAACAATTAATAAATGGAATCTTCTGAAACTAAGAAGCTTCCCTAAAGCAATGACACAGTCAATAAGACAAAACAGTAGCCTACAGAATGGGAGAAGATCTTCACCAGACCCACATTGGACAGAGAGCTGATCTCCAAAACATACAAAGAACTCAAGAAATTTGTCATCAAAATAACAAATAATCCGGTTAAAAAAAAAATGAGGTACAGACCTAAACAGAGAACTCTCAACAGAAAAATCTAAAATGGCTGAAAGACACTTAAGGAAATATTCAACATCCTTAGTCATCAGAGAAATGCAAATCAGAACAACTCTGAGATTCCATCGTACACCTAAAAATGACCAAGATCAAAAACACTGACGACAACTTAGCTGGAGAGGTTGTGGGGTAAAGGGAACACTCCTGCCTTGCTGGTGGGAGTGCAAACTGGTACAGCCCCTTTGAATGTCAGTGTGGAGATTTCTCAGAAAATTAGTGAACAACCTACCTCAAGACCCAGCAATACCACTTTCGGGTATATACCCAAAGGATGTTCAATCATACCACAAGGACATGTGCTCAACTATGTTCATAGCAACATTCATTGTCATAGCCAGAACCTGGAAAGAACCTAAATGCCCCTCAACTGAAGAATGGATAAGGAAATGTGGTACATTTACACAATGTAGTATTACGTAGAATAAAAAAATAACAACATCTTGAAATTTGTGGGCAATTGGATGGATCTAGAAAACATCATTTTAAATGAGGTGACCTAGAAAGACAAATATAATATATATTCACTAATAAGTGGCTTTTAGACATAAAGCAAAGAAAAATCAGCCTATAATTTACAATCCCAGAGAACCTGGACAACAAAGAGGACCCTAAAAGATTTAATCTACATGGGAAGTACAAAAAGACAAGATCTCCTGAGTAAATTGGGAGCATGGGGATCATAGGAGAAGGTAGAAGAGGGGGAGAGGAAAGAAGGGAAGGGAAGGGGAGAAAAATATAGCTCAATATAAACAATCTTTTAAAAAACCAGAAACCCACATCTGGTCAGACTCCAGGGAACAACTGGTCATGGGGCGCTCAGCTACAGTGAATACATCTGGACCAGAACTCTTGTACCTAAGGCTCAAAGAAGATGCAAATGAGAGTGTAAAAAGATTGCAAGAGTCAGAGAGCCAGGAATTCTACTGTAGGATTTTTGTCTCCTAGAAATGACAAGGAAGCTTCACCCACTAAGACTCAACAATATGGCTACCTAAAAGACAAGAAAGTATGATACCAATAGTATGATACCAATGAGTACAATACCAATATCTACATGGAACAGGGAAATCTTATTGAGCACTATTCTTAACAAAGATCTACAGGCAACTAAAGAATGCTCAGAATGGGAGATAATCTTCCTCAAGGAGGAGCCCCTTAATTGTCTATCTAATACCAATTGGTCAGTCCTGAAATCAAATGCAAGTAACACTAAACAGACTCAACAAGCTGTATCTATATACTTATACATATATGTAACAATAACAATTAAAGAAAAAGAGGTCATGAAAAAAGAGAATCACAGAACATTTTATTTGAAGACAGAAAATGTGGGTTCTCATCCTGTGTTGACTTTTGCCTCAGGTAACTAATTGACTCTGTCTAAACAAATGAAAATTAGGTAATATTTTCCTCTTGAAGTAGTTAAATAGCACATACTTTATTGTCTCTCATGCAATTAGTGGGCAGGGACATGGAGGAGTGACATGCCTGAGCATGAAGACCTTTTAAAAAAAAAAACATAAGAAGAAAAATATAGTGTGCCTTTGATTTAGATTGTAGAATTTGACTGTAGGTGAATTGGGCCAACTCATTGTACCTAGTCTGAGGCTAGTAGTTTCCTAAAGGGAAGCCTCTGTCTGCTGTGGTTTCCTATAGTAAGCACCTATGGAAAGCATTCTTCTTTGGGCGTAGAGTTTATACAGGTAAAAGCATAGACATCCAACTAGGAACAGCAGCCACCGTGCTGATAATTGACTTTATGTTTTCTATATTTGTGTTCTTTATCCTTTGTCTTTGTAAGAACTGTAACATCAATACATCTGCCTTTCAGTTCAAATATCATGATTGACAGGCAATATAGGCTCCAAAACAATCTATTTTCTGGGTCATTTACTTGATTATCAGTTAAGATCTTGTGGTACAAGATGAGCATACTGGAGGCATTTCTTTACACCATTTTCATAATTTATATATGTTACTATATGACTTTGAGGTAAGAATGCCCATACATGTCTTTGCTTTTACATTGGGACCATGTTCAGAAGTGGACTTGTTAATTGAATATGCTTAGAAATATCAGAGCTCTATATGAATGTGTCCAGACTCCCTAAATAAAATCCCCAAGCTTCCCTTGCTTAGAAAAAGCATTGCTGCTCTTTTTTTTTCCCCGCCTGGAACCATGGAGGCTGTGCCGGAGAAGAAAAAGGTTCCTGCTGCGCCGGGAACCCTGAAGAAAAAGCGAAGGAATTTCGCAGAGATGAAGGTGAAGCGCCTTCGGAAGAAGATTGGCCTGAAGTCTCTGCGAAGGGCCCAGATGAAGCTCATCTATGAAAAGGTGAAGTACTATCACAAGGAGCACCGGCAGATGTACCGGACGGAAATTCACATGGCTAGGATGGCCAGGAAAGCTGGGAACTTCTACGTGCCCGCAGAACCAAAGCTGGCGTTCGTCATCAGAATCCGAGGTATCAATGGTGTAAGCCCAAAGGTGCGCAAGGTGTTGCAGCTTCTTCGTCTTCAGCAGATCTTCAACGGCACCTTTGTTAAGCTCAACAAGGCTTCAATTAACATGCTGAGGATTGTGGAACCATACATTGCATGGGGGTACCCCAATCTAAGGTCAGTAAAAGAGCTCATCTACAAACGCGGCTATGGCAAAATTCATAAGAAGAGAATTGCCTTGACAGGTAATTCCTTGATTGCTCGATCTCTTGGTAAATATGGCATCATCTGCATGGAGGATCTTATTCATGAGATCTATACAGTTGGAAAACGCATCAAGGAAGCGAATAACTTCCTGTGGCCCTTCAAATTATCTTCTCCACGAGGTGAAATGAAGAAAAAGACAACTCATTTTGTGGAAGGTGGAGATGCTGGCAACAGGGAAGACCAGATAAACAGACTTATTATATGGATGAACTAAGGTATTGCCCATGGTATTTTTGTAATCTGGTCAGTTAATAAACAGTCACAGCTTGGCAAACTAAAAAAAAAAAAAGCATTGCTTTGGAAATGACTCCCAAGTTCTTGTCTCCTGCAGGTAAGAAATTGTTATCAGTTTTTCTGTCTTGGTTGTTATGATACTATTCTTGCTAGCCAAAAAGACTACCTCTGAAATTAATTGAAACCCAAAGAATTGAATACACTTATGAGGGATTTTTCTTAATTAAAGGTTTTGAAACAGGAAAAAAAAAGAATAGGTAGAAATAGTTCAGTAGCTTGAAAGATGCTGTAAGTAGCATCTTCCCAAGCTATGACATCACTATATCACCCTGCTCAGACATCACTGTAGGATACTTGTGTTACCAGTCACTGACCTTGACCATGTGACCCTTAGGGTACCACTCTGCCACTATTCCTTAATGTTATAGAAAGATGTGTAAAGGTAGTTGACAATAGCAACAGTGAAATGCTGTCTAAGAAACAGAAGTCAATTTTATTTACATCAATATTTTCATATTTTCTGTGGTGGTCAGCTTCAGCTGTCAACCTGTCACAGTCTAGAGTCACCTGGGAAAAGCGTTTCAATAAGAGATGGCCTGTGGGTGACTCGTAGTGTGCCTGTAGAAGACCGCCTTAATTAAGTTAATTGGTGTGGGGATAGCCAGCCCACTGTGGGTGGCACCATTCCCTAGGCAGGGGATTCTGAACTGTGTATGGGTAGAAAAATTGAACCAAGCCCAAGAAGACAAGAAGGTAGGCATGAATGCTTGCATGTATTCCCTCTCTGTTCTTGAATGTGGTGTGACTAGATGTTTCAAGTCCCTGCCTTGATTTACCCAAAATGATGGAGTTGTAAGCCAAATAAATTACTCCTCCCCTGAGTTGTTTTCTATAAGAGTGTTTTCAAGCAACATAAATGAAACTAGAACATATTCTCTTATCAAGACTAAGAAAGTCCTTTACCAGGCTTTTTGCTTCTGTGAAATACCTGTCAAATCACCCACAAATACTAGATATCTACCATGTATATAAAAACTAAATATCCACTATATGTATAGTATTATATATGTATTATACAATATATTTGTATATATAAATGTTTATATGTGCATATATTATGTATATTTAGTTTTATATTTATATATATCAGCTGAAGGAGACAGCGGAACAGGCTCTCGTAAACTCCTTTGAATTACCAATCTTTTGCTTGGGGTTTCCAATTTTTCACACACTGTTTTATTAAGGAACAAATGGCGAGCTCATTTCAAGCTCAGAAGGAGCCCGGAGGCCCCTAATTTTAGCAAGAATTTTCCTAAAACAATGACCCTCCAAACTTCCTCAATTAGAGGGAATACAAAAGATTTCCTATGCTCCTGAGTCTCCCCCTGCCACCGTCAGGTAAATTCTTGTGTTGCTACTTGTCCTGATGTGGTAAATCCCTTGCCTTATGAAGATTTGGGTCCCTTTGCAGTCTTCAGAATCACAGTATCTCGGAAAGAAGGTGGTACCACTGTCAACATCCATCTTAACAAGCATGCTGAGCTGGGCACAGTGGCTCACATCTGCCATCTCAGCCCTTGGAAGGCTGAGGTAGGAGAATTGTGCAAAGTTTGAGGCCTGCCCGAGCTACATAGTGACTTCCATGCCAGCCAGGACTATCTAGTAAGACCTATCTCAAAAGAAAAGGGGCTGGGGGGGGGGGGCGGAAGGAAGGAAAGAAAGAAGAAAGGAAGGAAGGAGGGAAGGAGGGAGGGAGGGAGGGAGGGAGGACAGGAAAGATGCTAAGTCACGTTGCACGGGACCTTTAAAGAGCAGAGTAGGAACTAAGCCGTTAGATGACTTGCGGATAAGTCTGTTCCTGAAGAATGGAAATCATAATATATATTTTTCCAGACTTTCATGTCCAGGATCCTTACCAAAGTCATTAATATTCTTGAGCAGCGTTTCTCAGCATGTGAGTTGTGACCCCTTTGGTGCTGCATATCAGATATTTACATTATGACTCTTAATAGTAGCAAAGCTACAGCAGTAGTTATGAAGTACCAACAAAATAATTTTACAATTGGGAGTCACCACAGCATGAGGAGCTGTATTAAAGGATCTGAGCATTAGAAAGGTTGAGAACCACTGTCCTAGAGTCTTCAAAGCGAAAACATATTCAGATAGTGCAGAAATACATACACATACAAGTATATGCGTATATACGTGCACACACATACATATGCATATATAGTCTCTGAGCATATTTAAAGCACAAAATGTGTATGAAGATGTCTGTGGGAGCCCCTGCACTTGGACTTTTCTCATAAGGAACAGCAACTTATCTTAGCGCGCAAACTATCTGAAATCCTAAACCTGGGCTCACTGAGCCTTAGGGTGTCTGCTGCTGGCGCTACCTTCACCACTGATGAAGAGTCAGGGGTGTCTGAGGGAAAGAGACCCTTCCTGCGCAGAGGAACCGGCTTCCTGGTCCCGGCTGGGCTTGGCTGCCCTCTGGTGGTGGTGATGGGGTTGCTGGCCACAGGAATCTCTGCAGATGGCCTCTTCACGAAGTTGCTCCTGAAGGTGGAGTACTTGGTGACAGAGCCAAAAGCCTGTTGAACAACAATGAAAGCCGTGAATTCTAGTGGGCTCCAAGAGGCAAAGATAAAATTCCTTCTACTGTAATTCCATAGTATTTATCTAGACAATTCTGTATGTGAGCTTGAGAGTTAACGTTTTTTATAACACTTGAACATCGTTCATAATCACAGCTTCCACCCACAGTCTTTAGATATACTGAAACACTTTAGAGAGTGGGCCTACTGACTTATCGTAATTACACACCAAGATAAAACAGAACATGTCGGGTGGAGAGATAGTTTAGAGGCTAAGAACACTTCCAGAGGTCCTGAGTTCAATTCCCAGCAACCACAACCATCTGTAATGAGATCTGGTGCCGTCTTCTGGGGTGCAAGCATACACTCAGGCAGAACACTGTACTCATAATAAGTCTTTAAAAAAAAAACAACAAAAAAAAGGCACATGAAGCGACACTGTGTGCTGAGCACACAGTTCCCTCTCCTATTGTGTTTGTTTGTTTGTTTGTTTTGTCACTAAAAATCCAATGCGTTACCCATTGTGCCACAGAGCCACCTTTCAACATTCTTGCTGGCTCTAAAGTTGAGAACTTTGGAGACAAAGCAAGCAGTGTCAGTGGGCCATGACCAGACAATGTGTGCACTCCCAACAACGCCATCTAAGACTTGTGGAGACTAAGAAGTGGGAGGGGGCTGTCATACTGGAGGGAAGACAGACACTCTTGTTCAAATTTCTCTTGGTTTTCTAGAATTTAAATATGCAGTTTAAGACAAAATAATCTTGAGCTTAAAGGGAGGAGAGCAAATCTGATGGTACATCTGAAAAGTGATCGATAAACTTCACACTGTTAATCACACTGTGCCTTGATGTGTCTACGTTCCTCTGACCTGCAAAAGCCACTCTGTCCATCCTGAAGAAGTCCTACTTGGAATCTTGTCCAGGACTCTCCTCCAAGGTAACCACTGGCTCACAGTCCCAGCTGGGTTTACCAACAACTCCCTCAGGGATTTGTCTGGAACATAGCTTCACTCTGTGCCGTACTAGGTTGGCAGCCTATTTAGGCCACATAATGGTCCCCAGGGTTCCAGATTCTAACCCCTGCCACCTATCAAAATCATCTTCCACGGCAAAGAGTCTTCACACATGAAGTACCCACGTACAGCCCAAAGCTGTGGATTAAATTACCTGAGTTAGGGAATTCTACCCCTATCATCCTCTCGGGGCCTGAATACCATGATTTGTCCTGATAAGAAGCTGGAGGAAGAGTGAACTAGACCAAGAGCAGACGGCACTACGTCCACAGAGCAGAGGTGCAGCAATAATGCTCACAACCCAGAAAATACCAACAGCCACAAGAACCAAGAAAGACAGGGCACCGCTGCTCCAGGCGAGCCTCTAGAGAAAGCAACGCCTACTGACACTTTCCTCTGCCTCGAGAAACTGGCCTCGGACCTCCATGTTTGCAAGGCTAAACACTCTGATGATTTCTTTCAGCAGCTGCAGGAAGCTGCTATACAGCTCTTGATGGCCTTGAAGTGCCCCAACAGAGTAGAGACAACAGGCTGAGTTAATAGTAACCCATACAGGGCCCAGTAGTCACATATGTGAACTAGATAGCATGTCTCATCACTACCTTCTCAAGTGAGCACTAATGAAAGTTAATGGAGTTGAGTCATTTAAGCAAAGCATTAAGTGAATGGATCACTTTCCCTAAAAACAAACCACGTTCAGAAGGCAGAAGGGGCTGAAGAAAGAGTCCAGAGGATCGGAAATGATCCTTAGGAGTGAGATTCATTGGGTAAGATGAAACGTAGGTTTTCCACATAAACTAGGGAATTATGCAAATATCCCAGTAAGAGTGCTAGAAGGTCAGACAAACACAGGTGCCCAGAGACAAATAGGGGACACCCCAGAATACAGATGACACATACAAACTCATCAGTGATCTATTAAAACACACAAGGAAATATTCCCCCCAGAAAAATGTTCTTTTTTTGCTTTCTCAACAACAAGAACAAGTAAGTACCTTCCTCCAGGGTAGTGAGATGGAAGAGCAAGTCCCTGGTCTCCAGGATGACCGTAGTGAGTGAGGCTAGAGCTGGGCGGGAAAGTCGAGGACAGACACAGGTGCTTGAAGCACAGGGACTAGAGATCAGCAGAGTTCAGACCATGCCGGGGTCGCTCTGGCTGGCTGTGAGGGATGTGCCCTGCAGAGTCCGGATGTGCCTCTCATACAGACATCAAGGGGCAAGACCATCAGTGGAGTTAACGGTGTGACGGAACTCAAAAATCAGTACAATCTTAGGTCCCACTAGTTTAGAGTGAGCCCTACTCTCACAGAAGACCAGAGTGCAGTTCCCAGCACCCACACTGGAAGGGTCACAACCACCTGCAACTTCAGTTCCAACAGATCTGACGTCCTCTTCTGGTATTCAAGGGCACCTTCACACATGTGAGATTTTATATATGTATAGACAAAATTTTAAGAGGAGGGCTGGTCACCAGGAGAATGGGTACACTGATACATTTATAAAATGGAATACTATAAAATAAGCGTGAACTGCAGCTCTGTGAAAGGAACAGCACAAGGCTATCAAACAGTAAGAAAAGACCAGGAAGCAGTATAATTTCATCTAAGTAAAGTGCAAGGACAGGAGAACCAAAAGTGTATTTCAGGATGTACACAGGTGCTGCTGCTACAGGAAACAGAAAGGAGGGAAGCATCAAAAACCCAAGGTGGAGTAGGCGTATTTTAGTTCTTGCCCTGGAAGATGCACCCAAACTTTTGACATTGTGATATGGCATTGCCATCTACAATATTCATTCTTGAAAAGCATGCAATCAAATTGGGGGTGGGCCATGTCAAAAAAAAATTACACAGTGGCTTAAATAGGCTTAGAAACTTGTTAGTCCACTTTCATGGTTACTCTGGGCTGCAGGTTGCAAATGATGGGTAGAATATTTGCTTTGGGGGGAAGGAAGGAAGCAGGTTCTCATTATATAGTCTGGGCCAGCCTTGAACTCCAGGTCCTCCTGCCTCTGTCTCCCCAAGCCTGGATTTCAGGAGGGCTTCGGGGCCCTTGGCCAGAACTTCTCTCCTAACTGTTTTTTATCAAGCTGTCTATTCACATCATGTACTTTTCAAAATGTCTTAATATTTAAAAATAAAAAGTATGAGATGAGAAAGAAGAGGAGAAGAGGGAAGAAAAGGGGGAGAGGGAAAAAGACACGGGTATAAGCAAGGATTCAAAAGTCAAGTTCAGTGGGAGGGCAGGGCCCATGATGAAAAAGGCTAAGATGAGCGTCTACGCACCCTAGCATGTGCCAGGCTCCCATCACGTGGATCAAGGGAAACCAGAGTGCTGATCCAGATAAAGAAGATACAAAAGAAACTGTCTCCAAATATTTAAAGAAAAACAAATTATGAAAAAAAGCTCGTTTTTATATTATCCCCACGACAAAACCTGGCCAACAAAAGAGGCAAAATTTGTATTGAATACAGTGATCTTCCTGAGAAAGTACAATTGGTCTTAACACACTGAATATAAAATCCAATTCTCAGTCAGTCCTACCATTGGGAATAGAGTGAAACATTTCAATGTAACCCTTTAATGGTTTTAGTCTTTCAGCATTAATATAAATTCACACAAAAATTAATTCAGGTAAGGTAGGTGAATATATTTACATTAAAGCATGAAGGTGATAGCAAATGACAGGCAAACATAGACAGCACAGGGGTGGCACGTACACAGCCGGCTGCGGGCCGCACTGTTTCAGCTTTGATGTCTGTAAGCTTTTGTTCTAGGCTCTATCTCCTGCTAAGGAAATGCCTGTCGCATAGTTCTCAATGACTCAAGTATTTATTAATAGAGAGGAAGAGGAAGATAAGAAAAATAAGACAAAGGAGGGAAAGGGATGAAGCCCATCAGCTCAGCCTGTCCACCTTGAGTGGTCACATCGTGGTGACATTATACAGAGAGGAATCCGGAGCCTGAGATAAATAGAAAGGAACCTAGAAAGGTTAAAAACAAGGTCAGGAAGTCACAGGATGAAGCTACCAAGAAAACAGAAACAAACAGGTCTGGTGATAAATGATCTGACACGCAGCTATTCGGTGGGTGGAGAAAAGCCTTTGGGGTCCAGAAAGGACATGCTGGTGATGGAGTTTTGCAGGCATCTTGTGATAGGGCAGATGGACTAGCTCAACAAGTAAAATCACTTGCCACCAAATCTAACCAACTGAGTTCGATCCCCAGGACCCACCCAGAAGGAGAGGACTGATCCGTATAAGTCATCCTCTGGTCTCCACAAGTGCACCACAGCATGCACCCACACATATACATGCGCAAGTAAATGAATGAATGAATGAATGAATGAATGCAATTTTTAAGAGAGAGAGAGAGAGAGAGAGAGAGAAGAGAAGAGAAGAGAAGAGAAGAGAAGAGAAGAGAAGAGAAGAGAAGAGAAGAGAAGAGAAGAGAA